TCGTGTTCTGACCAACACTAGGCAGAGAGACCACATCTCCCCGGTCCTTGCCTCTCTTCATTGGCTCCCTGTTCTATATAGAATTCAATTTAAAATCCTTCTTTTAACCTTCAAAGCACTCCATGGTCTGGCGCCCTCCTATATAGTGGACTTGATAGAACCCTATCAACCCACCAGAACACTCCGTTCTGTAGGAGCAGGCCTTCTTGTGGTTCCACGAATTTCTAAATCTAGATTCGGAGCCAAAGCCTTTTGCTACCAGGCCCCTCTTCTGTGGAACCGCCTGCCAGTGCCAGTCCGGGAGGCAGACACAGTCCTCTCTTTTAAATCTAAATTAAAGACACACCTTTTTAATACAGCCCACGGTAGTCCATAGGTCTGTCTGTAGACCTCCGTCACTTCTCTCCTTGCCTTTCTCTATCTCTCTCTCTTCTGCTTCTGTTCCACAACTAACACGTCCGGCCGGGGACCTCACATCCCCGGAGTCTCTGTTCTCTCCCCCACTAGCACCCTGCCTGACCAACCAGGACCACCACGACCAGGACCAAAGCTCCAACGCCCAAGCCTCGACCAGCCATGGACTTATATTGACCTGTTTTTAGATATTTAGACAATAACTGTGTCTATTGTATGTTCTGTATGTTCACTGTATTGTATTGTTCTGCTCCGGTAACATCCACTGCACTGTCTGTCCGTCCAGGGAGTGGATCCCTCACCTGTGGTTCTCCCTAAGGTTTCTACCGTTTTTTCCTCCCTGTTAAAAGGGTTTTCCTTCGGTAGATTTTCCTTACCCTTGCTGAGGGTCTAAGGACAGAGGATGTTACCAACCCTGTTAAGCCCTGTGAGACAAAACTGATTTGTAAATGTGGGCTATATAAATAAAAATTTGATTGATTGAAATGAACACACATGATCTACAGCCTGTGATTACAGGTGACACATTAGTGACATTTCTGTGTCAAATATATATTTAGGTCTTAAACTGGGACATTATTTTCCAATTTTGTGTATCTTTTGTATAAAACCATTGCTCTGTGTAGTGTTGAATACTAACTGTATGACAGATGAGCAGGGTTAGAAATTACTTGGTGTTAATTGAACATACAAGGATTTTTGTTTTGATATAATGGTAAGTATGATGACTGTTTATCTTCTTGTCTAAAGATGATGGGAAACATTTTGCATTCTTAGGGTGTTATAGGCAGCGCTGGGATTCAAACCCACACCCCTGAAGAGACTGGAGTCTTAGTCCAGCGCCTTAGACCGCTCAGCTACGCTACCTTGTGGCAAGCGTCTGGTACACCCTTGCTGTGGCTGTGTGTTTATCGTCAGTGACATTCGTGATAAAATGAACAATGATCGTATCTGTGGGTGACATTAAAAATATATTAGAATATAGCTAGAAATTATAGTTTGAAAGTGTGACAGCGAGTCAGACAGGTTGATGTGTGTGAAG